GGAAGACGACGAGTTCAAATGTGATTGCGGCTTCGAATGCGAAGACCGTGTTCATGTAGTCGCGGAATGTCCGTTGTACAAGAAGGAGAGGGAAGTGTACGTGACTGAGCTGGGAAAAATAGATGGAACGTACAGGGAGATGTTTGAGGCATGGAATAGAGAGGAAAGGACGGTGGCTGTAGTGGGGCATAGGAGGTGGGTTGAAAAGGCGGGAAGGGATATCGTTAGGATAGACAGACTAGGGAAGACATGTTTGAGCCACCTTTGGCAAAGTAGAAAGGAACGATTGGCCATCGGTGATCGGTCCTGTGGGAACAATGCTCCGTCCTCTCGAGGACTCGTGGTCAATGGTCTAACCGCTAAGACATGCAAAACATAAGAGTACGCCCCCCTGCCCCCCTTCTCCTCACTCACGCTGCCCCTTGCGGCCCTGCTCTCTTCAACCCCTGTCGTGCCGCGGTCACCATTCTTTCGTCCATTCCCGCAATACACCGAAAACACTCGTCACGCACGACAGGCGGGGTTGTACCGTGCTGCCTTCATCTACGCAAGAAGAGCAGACAGTCACTGCTGTGTGGGGAACTCAACAACAAAATCGGAACTGCGTTGCCCTGTGCCATGTAACGTCTATTATTACATCTATTCACGCGTGGTTGTGCCACTTCTTCTCTCTCTGTGCATGGCATCGTCTTGATGCTGGTCGTGCAGCTGGGAAGGGTGGGCGTTTTCGGGGGCTCCGAGGACTACACGGGAGCGCCCTTCTTCGCGAGCATGTCGGCGCTCCGCATGGGAGCGGACCTGGCGTACGTCTTCACGGCGAAGGAAGCGGCACCCGCGCTCAAGGCCTACAGCCCAGAACTGATGGTGAGTGACGGGCCGGGTGGAAGGGAGACAGCAGTGTCTTCAGAGGGGTAAGCGTCACGCGTGAACCGTTCGTGCCAAATATCAACGAAGAAGACGACGGCGACGACCAACAACAACAATCACAACAACCTAAGACTAACCTGAGGTCAGGCGGCCGCGCCACCACCGCCGCAGGTTACCACCGTCTACAGCGGCGACATGCTCACGGGCGGCTCGGCCACGGGGACGCGAGGAGACGACAAGGGCGATAACGAGAGCGATTTCTGCTCCGCTGCCCTAGCAAGACCCATCGCCGACAGCGTCTCGTCGAGGCTGCCCAAGCTCCACTCCCTACTGCTGGGGCCCGGGATGGGCCGCCACCCCACCGTCATCGCCGCCGCCGCGGGGATCGTTGCGAGCGCTAGGGGGCGGGGTCTTCCGTTGGTTCTCGACGCCGACGCCATCGCGATGGTGGTGGACGACCCCGGCACGATCAGAGGCTGTACCCTGGCCGTCCTCACGCCCAACGCGAACGAGTTCAGGCTGTTGTGCGAGAGGATGGAGCGTGACAGTGGTGGGGAGGGTGGGGAACGGACGCGACACGGAGAGGCGTTGCAGTCGCCGTCGGGTGTTGGCGAGGCAAGAGCAGCAGGGGGAGATGTGGCGACAGCAGCAGTAGCAGCAGTAGCAGGAACAGTACCAGCACCAAGACCACCGGCACCGCCTGTGCCCGCGGCAGACGTAGCTCTGAAGGTGGAGCGGTTGGCCAGATATCTGGGTGGGGTGACGGTCGTGCTGAAGGGCAAGGTGGACGTTATTTCCGACGGCGCGCGAACGGTAACCTGCGCGGTCCCGGGGGGCCTGAAGAGGTGCGGCGGGATCGGTGACGTCCTTTCCGGGGTCACCGCCACCGCTCTCGCGTGGGTTCACGTGCAGGATTTCGAGGGGGAAGAGGTGTGTTTCGTGGAGGGCGGGCGCGCGGGGGGGGG